GGGAGGGAGGGAGAGAGGGAGGGAGTTTCAGTTTCATATTTTTTAAACGTGTTTTTGCTCTGGACGTCCCGGTTCATCAGACCAGTACCGCTGACCACCGCTGGGTGTCGCTCTGCTGACATCACACTGATATCTCCCGCTCAGCTGTCTGCACCACACACACACACACACACACACATCAACATTCTCTCACACACCAACATTCTCTCACACACAGCCTGACTGCCGTGCTCCTCTCGGTTCTACTCTCGGTTCTCCTCCCGGTTCTCCTCTCCGTGCTCCTCTCCACGCCGTGATTTCTCCTTCTCTCCTTCTCGCGGTCACGCAGCGGCGGCGCTTCACCTGCGCACACTGTGGGCGGCCCACTCCGGGACTGGGAGGGATTTAACTCCCGCTGTCACCTCCTCATGCAGGAGGAAACTTAACGCAGTCAGTCAGTGAGTGAGTGAGTGTGACTGAGGGCGGAGCGGAGGAGCAGCGGAGGAACACCGAGCCGCTCCGCAACTTCAAACCCAGACGACGAGCCGAAGTTTCCGGGCTTTTTTTTCTTCTGGAGGACTAATCTGGAGCTGCGTGTGGATTTTTGCCTCCCCCTCTCCCCCGTCACCTCACCCTTGTCCGCTGCCTGAGAAGAGAATGACGAGAGATCACGGCGACGGTTCCGCAGCGCGCTGCTCCTGCTGCTCCTCTCCGCTCAGGGAGGCGCTGCTGGCGGCGGCGGCGCTCGTCCTCCTCACGGCTCAAGGTAAGAGGGAGGGAGGTGAGCCGCGCCCGTGTGTGCGGCTCACCTCCTCCGACACTTCACCCTGCCTCCGCCGAGTGTCACCTCCGTGTGTCACCTCCTCCTCCTCCTCCTCCTCCTCCTCCTCCTCTGCTGCTGTGGAGACACTGTTGTAAAACTTTATGGTCTGTGTCAGGTCTGTACCTGACTGTGTGTGTGTGGGGGGGGACGGGGGGACGGGCGTGTGTGTGAGTTTTGTTTCGCCGTGACAGCGCACGCGCGCACACACAGCTGAGGTGTGGCTTCTGGAGCCGCTGTTTGTTTGTTCTCTGTGTGTGTGTGTGTGTGTGTGTTTATATATGTTCGAGCGCGTGTTTTCGTGCACGTGTGTGTTCTCGTGCACGTGTGTGTTCTGTCCTCATTTCCTCGCTGCTCCAGGCAGAGGTGCCGGGTGAGGAGGCAGTAATCCTCCCCCCTCCCCTCTGACCTGTAATCTGTGTTCACCTGCTGCTGCAGCCGGAGGAGTGGAGCAGTCACTGGGCGGAGGAGCCAGGCTCGGCCGCTGCTGGGTCTGTGGTCCGTGGTCTGTGGTCTGGTGATGATGATGAAGATGATGAAGATGAACCAGGGTTCAGTTTTTATTCAGATCAGCAACAGGAGGAGGAGAGCTCCAGGGCTCCTGCTCCTCAGGTGGATGAGTGAACCTCCATCACTGATGGAGGTTCACTCATCCACACCAACCTCAGTGTGAACAGAGGTCAGTGTGAACAGAGGTCAGTGTGAACAGAGGTCAGTGTGAACGTCCGTCTGTGTTCGTGGACGATCGTTCTTTTTTTTTTACCCAGGTCTTTGAGACTTGTCTGTGTGAAGACTGTGGAGCTGGCTGTGGCCCAGGTGATGGAGGTTCACTCATCCACACCAACCGCCGTGGCCCAGGTGGAGTGGGCCGTGGCCCAGGTGGAGTGGGCAGTAATGATTATCAGAGAGAACATGTGAATTGTTGGTGTTTTTTTTGTAAATCGTATCGTGACACACGTCGTATCGTCAGAGTCTTGACGGAACAGGATCTGAAATCATCCATTCACTGTGAACAGACTGTAGGTGTGAACGTTGGTGTGAACGTTGGTGTGAACGTTGGTGTGAACGTTGGTGTGAACGTTGGTGTGAACGTTGGTGTGAACGTTGGTGTGAACGTTGGTGTGAACGGTTGTCGATCCACCAGGTCCTGTTTTCTTTTTCGCTTTACTGCAACTCTGCACTGAGGTCAGAGGTCAGAGGTCAGAGGTCAGGAGTTAGGTTCCAGTCTGTTCTTGGACCTGGTGATTAGAACGTCCCTGTCACATTTTGTTCCTTCCGACCTCTGACCTCTGACCTCAGAGCTGACAGAACCCGGGAGGGAGGGACCGCTCTGAGACTGTGACTGGGCCACACCCGGTCCTCGAGCCACTAGTTGAATATCCAGCCATAGAATATGTGACCAGAACAAACCCTCATGATCTGCTGAAGGTGACTTTAACTGTATAGTTTATGGCTGTTGGACCCCCCCCTCCTCACCCCCCCTTCACCCCCCCACTCTGTCCCCCGTCCCTCCCGGTCCTCTCTGACCTAAGGACACTGGAAACCTGTGGTGACATTTCCTGTTGTACCCGGGGGCGGGGGGGGGGTTTGAGTCCACGGCCTTCGATCTGATAACCACAGTCAACGGACCGTTAGCTGAGTGGGCTAGCATTTAGCTGTTTGTTTCCTGTCACTCTCTTACGGCTAGCTTAGCGACGCTAACTTCAGAGTGAGTTTGACTGAGAGATGAGCTACGATTGGTCCACAGGGTTATCTCTCCTCCTCCTCCTCCTCACCCTCCTCCTCACCCTCCTCCTCACCCTCCTGCTCCTCACAGACGTCCCCTGTTCTCTCACAGCACATTTCCAGTCAACCCACGTGCACTCTCACACACACGTGCACTCTCACAGAAAACACTCACCACTGAGAAGTTTGACTTCATCTTCATCCTCACCATCATCCTCATCATCTTCATCATCACCATCATCTTCATCCTCATCTTCATCCTCCTCCTCCGTCTCTGTCCTGTTTGGACCTGTCCTGGTCATGTGACCATGTTCCAGTCCATCTGTCCAAACAGAACACAGATGTAGAGACAGGTTGATCCCCCCCCCTGATTAATTGCTCCAGTGTCCTCAACTAATTGACTGGTGCGCCTGCTTCTGCCTCCGTCTCTGTCTCTGTCTCTGTCTCCGTCTCTGTCTCCGTCTCTGTCTTCTTCAGTTCCTGTTTTTCTTCTTCGTCAGTCGAGGTGTGGATGAAGATCTTTTTCTTTTCTTTCTTTCCTCTGAATCAGAGATTCTGGTTTTCTTTACTTCCGTCACATGAACGTCTTCGTTCTTTTGACTCGGATTTTTTTTTTTTTTTTTCACACGACTCCAGACGCTCGCTCTCTTTTGGACGTTTTCATTTGTGCCTCCTCTAAAAACCCTCAGGAGATTTACTTACCTTTCACACATCATTTCACCCCCCCCCCCCGTTGTGCCCTGC